CTTGGCTAGGCTACGGTCCCCAGTTATTCAATTAAATGCTAAGCTAGGTGTTGCTGTAAAGATATTTTGCAGATGTGATCAAAGCCCCTAATCAGTTCCCATTGAGAGTAAGGGAGCATCCTGGACAGTCTGGGTGGGCCTGATTCAATCAGTTGAAAGGTCTTAGAAGCAGAAGTCAAATGCTGAAACTTCGCTAAAAGAAATTCCATCTGTGAACAGTGTTTTCAGCCATACCTGTGGAATTCATCCTGCTCACACTCTTGCCTTCCCATCTGCAGACAACAGCTTCGGTCTACGCCTGCGAGTTCCACCCAGTCATGTTCTTTCCGTTTTGACCACCAGCCCTGGGGATTTCAGGCTTGCTTAGCCAGCACCCACAACCACGTAAGCAAATTCCTCGTAACAAATTTATATATTTACATATATATTATACTGGTTCTTACTGGTTCTGCCTCTCTTGACGAAGCCTGACTGGTACACCCATGAACTAGAAGGGGATGCTGTTACTAAAAGGAATGAGAGATTGCATTTTAGGTCCTTCCAAGCCCCACTGAGAGTAAAATAGTAGTAAAGGAATATAAAAAGGTATAAGCCTTCCTGGTTACAGAAAGCAGATTGATACATAAACTTAATTTTGCTCCTCTATTAAGACTTCCTTAAAATATAGGAAGAGGATTTCTTTTCAAAAGACATAAATCTAAGGAGAACAAAGAGGCAAAAACCACAAAGTCATTTTAGAAGCTGAAAAGCAGATGGATCAGTAGGAAATTACTTAGCAGACCTGAGCATGCCAAATCCTAAACCAACAGAAGAAAATGCAAGGAACTGTGGCATCGTTACTTCTGGAATTTGGGGTGGAGAAGATGGCTTAAGTATGGAATTCAGGAAGGCCTGTGAGAAATAGATTCCTGGATTCCAAGCTCCAGGGCTATTGTATTTCCTTCAACTTGGCAGAAGCTGGGAAGTTTTCTCCCTGGGGAGTGTAAGAGGATTTCTGAAGGGATACCAGGCACAGATCAGAGAAGTGGCATCATACTGAAAATAAAAGGATTAAGTGGCTGTATGCTGCCATATTGAATGCTGAATGCAAAGAGCCCCCAACCTTCTTCCCCCAATGCACTCATAGATGCTCCCAGACTGACCCGTCTGGTCAAGAGAGGAAGGGCTCCTTTGGGGAATCTGACCCTACCTGAAGAAAGACCTAAGGGTACCATTACTACAATTCCCCAGTGAGCAGCCCAACCAGGCCATCCTACAGAGAAACTCGAACTACACTCCTATCCATTTGTTCTGAACTTCGAAATCCCCATGATGAATCATTACCAGATAGGCAAGGATTACCAGACACCTGAGGTTAAAGCCTCTAATGTGAAAGACTGAGACCAAGACAAATAATTCCTCCAAGTAATAACTTGGAGGAATTAAAATTATATGAGAGGAAAAAAATCTATACTATCTTCACATAAGATATCATATCCACGAAACAAACACAAGGTGATATTAAAAAAGACATTCAGAAAATAAAAGTTCTTGGAAATTAGAAACATCATGACAAAGCTGAAAAACTCAATAGAAAGGATTGAAAGGTAGGGTTGAGTAAATCCCTGTGAAATAGCAAAATGACAAAATGATGCCAGCAGGAGATCAGAAATCGAGGGAAGCAGTCCAGGACATCCAACACGTGAATTGAAGCTCCGTAGGAAGAAGGAAGCCCCACAGCAGCTGCTGATACACAGCAGTCCTCGCTGTATTGGCTCCCAGATCTGTGTCTACTCTCAGGCCTCCCAACCTAGATGTACCAATTGGTGGAGAAAGGTGAATGCAGACTTTGCTACCTTTTTCTTAATCCAGAACTCTTCTAGAAAGTAGTGCTAGGAGAAGGTAAAACCCAGTCACCTTCCTGTGGAGAAAAAAATTCGAATCAGAGTTTTATCCTCTCCTTCCAAGTGGCAAAGGAAACAGAAAATCCACCAAAGAAGAGAGGAGAGGGTCAACGAAAGAAATCAAGAAAATTCTCAGGAAATCCTCAGGAAAGTAGAGGAGAGGTACCAGGATGAGGACTGGCACCAGACCAGGAGGGTGAGTCTGGTTTGGAGCAGGGACTCAAGACAGAAATGTTAAGAGTTGTTAGCACCAAGATCGTTTCTATTTTCACGTGGCTTAGCTAAGAACAGAAGGTCATGGTGATCCTGGCCCAGATTCTTATTTCTACTAGGCTTGTCTTGACATGAGCTGATGAACATCTTGCTCACTGGGTTAGCAGGAGAAATCAGCATTTCATTCCACAAAACTGTCTAGCTTTGACTTCCTCCTGAAGTCCAGATGGCCGTGGTGAGCATGAAAACAGAAAGTAGTAGCCCAAGCCACTGACCATATTTCTGCCAGACAATGAGGCTCTGGTGTGTGGAGAACACTGCCACCTGCCCTGAAAGTGGTGGCCCCATTGGTTCCAGGGCTCGTTCAAGTCCTTGCTCACTGACCTTCCCAGAGGGGCTCTTATAAATTCCCAGGGAAGCTGAGGTTCACTCTGGCCCACAGATCGCATTCCTTTTTCTGGCCGACTTCATCTAACAGTGGCAATGTAGTTCTTTCTCCATACAGCTAAGTTTGGGCTCGATGCCCCGTGTTTTCAAAACTGAACATTATATTGTTTCAGGTTATCTCCAGCAGGGGTAAAAATAGACGAGAGAGCAAGGAAATGATTAAATCACAAGTAAGTACAGCATTTAGTTTAGTGGAAAAGGTGGCGAATTCAACTGGGTCGGGCATAAGGTGGATTCTAAGGTAGTGGTAGTGTTCTGCTCCTTAAAGACCAACTGTCCCTTTTATTCTTCTTTAGACCGTACATTTATATTGCATACGCTCTTCTGTATGTGTGACACGTTTCACGGTTGGAAAAAGAAAAGCTAGTAATAGCAAGGAGAACTGAAGGGGAAACCATCAAGAGGCCAGAGACCATATTCTGGAAGGTATGAGCAGATGAAAGAGTATGGAAAGTTGAAATGAGGTTGAGGAAACCGACAGGCTAGAACACTGGTAGGAGGGGACCACGGACAAGGCCTGACTGCCCAAGGTCTGGACTTGGAGCCTCAGCCCCTGTGAGAGAACTGTGTTCTCCAGCACTGGCTGAGCTCCCTGATGGTGTTACTCTTGCTCTGACTGTGCTCCATCCTGCGCTTCCTTGGATTTCTCTCCATCTTTGGCATCCGTGACCCAGGTGCCCCTCTGCCATGCAAGCCCAACATGGGGCTGCGCTTCCTTGGATTTCTCTCCATCTTTGGCATCAGGTGCCCCTCTGCCGTGCAAGCCCAACATGGGAGCACAGCTTCCAAGCACCAAACCCTAGTTAGCTAGCTTCTCTGCTTAGCCTCAGAGCTTTGTCTCAGCTGAAGAGAAGCCCAAGACCTTGATCAGGTGCTTGGCACCTGACCCAGACTCCTTCAGTTTCTGCTCCTAAGCATTAGGTGTCAAGGACTTCTCCAGCCTCCCAAAAAGTCACTTGTCGAGGATCCTGGGTCTTGCTCAGCTTCCACAAGGCCAGCAGTGAAGTCACCACAGATGTTAGCACAGGAGGGAGCTTTAGAGATCACCTTATCTGTGCTGTCTTTGGAGGCCCAGACGCTGGGGCCAAGAAACAGCAATCTGTCCAATGCCTCACAGCTGGAGTTAAAATCAGCTCTGTCTTTCCAGAATGATCAGAGCCTGCATGAGACAGACACCAACTTGGGACAGAGACTCAGGTGGCTGGACTCCCAACCCCAGTCCGATCTCAGTTTGGTTTAGAGACAAACACAGATCCTCTCACTGCTGCTTAGCAGTGTATAGGGTGCTGCCCTGTCAGACCTCAGTGCATCCAAACATCCAATCTGTAATCTCAGCAACGTAAGCGGCCATCCATTTTAAAAACGGGTAGTTGTTTCTTCCTAGTAATTACCAAAGAAACCAAGTTTCTCATAGAAGATTTGGAAAATACAGAAAATTCTAAAGGAAAAAAATCACGATGCCACAAGTGCAAACTATTAGTGTTTTGGCATTACAACTGAGCTCTTTAAAAAGAAATCTTTCTTAAAACAAGCATGCTCCCATTCACATTTGCCAGGTAGGTGACAAAATCAACCCAGCAGCTGTCCCCCTCCCCGCTCAAAAACAGCCCTGGTTTCCCCTTCAGTCCTCCGTGACTGGGTGCACATGGTCAGAGGATGTGCCCTAGGCCCCAGCTAGCTGCACTGTCCCACACGGCTCTGGCTAGAGTGCAGATACATGGTGGAACTTTACCCAGCAGGAAAGGACAAGGGAGGGACCAATACCTAGTCCACCTCCACTGGCCCAGCCACTGCAGCAGCATGAGGCTTTTCCAGAACACTGTCCTCAAGCTCCTCCAACCAATAAAAGCAGAGGAGGGCTCTTCTGTGACCTGGGCCTCAGAAAGTTTAATGAGGCCAAGCCTGGCTTCCTGGCCACTTTTCTCAGCTTTTTCCACCACTTTGGAACACGGGCTCTCAGGCCCAAGCAGGGTGTTCCAGAGAACCCTGCCATGCCCGGTGGTACTGCATCACAGCTCCCACGCCAGGCTGGGCCCTCACCTGAGGCCTGGTCTGGGCCTTGCCTCCTTGATGACAGGGCCCTGACTGAGAACATTAGGGGATCCTGATGTCCTGCAAATCTCCTTTGCTTTTCAAGGCCCAGCCCAAACCTGCAGACCTGAATGTGAGTACCTGAAGGCAGAAAAATCAGTCACCCGGCTACAATCACCCACGCTATGCTGGATAGACAGACGGATGAAAGGATGATGGACGGTCTCATGGGAGGGAAGAAGGGAGTCAGAGGGAGGTTGATGCAGCAGGTAACAGGGGCTCTTGATCATCACCAGAGCTGGAAAGAACTTCACACGTCGGCCAGTTCCGGCTACATGCTGCAGGGGAGGAAAGCCCTCTCAAATTTAGGAATAAAGGAAAGCTGAGGGAGCAGGAAAAGACAGAAAAACAAGTGAAACACATATCTTCATCACAACGAATTACAGAAATTGACCTTTATTTATTGTACTAAAGTCTGTTTAACTTTTGATACAAAGTAAGGTTTTAGTACAGAAAATCCCAGTCTGTCAGAACAGTACCTGTGCACACTGTACCATCACAGTCCCACTCTGTCTGCAACTCAGAGAAACAGCCCAGAGGGCATGCGAGTAAGACCTTGAGACAGCCTACAGTTTGTCTTAGTTGTCTGAGCTAGAAAACTTGTACCTGTAAAATAAAGGGCAGCATTGAGGACTGAAACATGTCTCTTTTTGAACAACTGTGCAAGAAAATATATCCCTTTTTAAAAAATGTCAGTATGGCTAAACTACAATCTAGTGTCTAGAATTACAAAGAATAAAATGAATTCAAAGATTTCTTGCTAGTAAAATGAAATGTTAGGAACAGTATTAAAATATAGGTCCTACCTCAGTGACACTTACACAGAGCCCGGTACAGTACCTATTATTAACAGGACGCACAGTTTAAGGAGGAACCACATCAAATCTTCAGCCAGAGATATCCAGCGTCAGAAGTGCAAAAAATAAAAATAAAAAATAAAAATAACTCCCAAAGACATCCTCATGGAGTACTGTTCATGCCGTGAGTGCTATAGCCAAGACTAAAAGATCCCACTCTTTTTTAGATTTTTGACAGTGACAACACTAACCATTATGCTTCCCCAAAGACTCTCAATTCAACATCTGAAACACGAATGTTTTCATATCCCAAACAGCCGATGTGTCTGTCCCACTCCACAGAGTTTAAGAACTACCCTGAAAACACTGCGCTGTCACTATTTACAGAACCTAAAGAGGACCCGATAGCATGCATCAGCCCTAGCTTAACACCTTGTCTGGAACTAGTTGTGTCATCGTGAACCCATGAGGCTCCAACAGACCAGACAGTGCTGAAATGATAAACGCAGATGGAGAAGAAATGAGAGGATGTAGAAGGCAGAAGGGAAAGTCTGAGAGACAAGTTTGTAAGACTGCCAAAGTCGCCTTCCCTGGTGCAGGCGGGAAAACACTGCTGCTGGCGAGTCCATCCCACAAAGGCACTGGTTCTGCCACCACAGACGTCTAAGCATCTGCAGTCGCAATGTCCTTCCAGGAGAGGTGCCGTCGAGGAGCAGAAAGTTTGTCAGAGCTCTGGTCCCACCAACAAGAACCTTCGAAAGCAAAGCAGCCCCAATGAGGTTCCAGAGTTGTTTTGCTGAAAAAGGGAACGAAACCAACACCAAAGCAACACAGAGGGCTCGACAGAGGGGCAGGGGCTGGGCACCGACAATATGGGGCCGTTCAAGTAAACATAAACAACCAAATACTTAGAAAACACTTGTAAACTTGTGATCTGAAAGGTTCTCTTTGCAGCATCTCTGATCAGCTGGCTAAAGAAAGGTTGGTGTTGAACCTCTTTATCGAAGTCTTCTGTGTTTTTTTGTTTTGTCTTAAAGCACACGTGTGAGAGGAAGATAGTCCGCTGGGCTGGGCCTAGATCCCATTCGTCTGCGGCCCTCTGTCTCAAATGAGGTGCTTCTGGAGTCCTTGTTCATGGATCCTTCCCCTTCATGTTTACATACAGAAAAGTCAGACTTCTTTTTTTAGTCACTAAAGAGCTGAGCCAGGTATTGACACTGGCAGATGAGTTGCAGTCATTTCACAGCACAGCCTTCTTCTACGGTGGGCAGGCTGGAATCCACAGGACTTTACTTTGTTCTTGATTGACCATTGCCAAGATCTGAGTGCAAATGCTCTGCAGGGCTCCACCCTGGACGACTCCTGCAAAAGAACCCCCAAACACACATCATCGAGCTCGGAGTAAGACCCCAGGTTTGAGGCGAATAAATACATCCTTTACTCTTTCTCTGCCTGTTTTGAGCTACTGCTCTATTCCCACCCCACTCTGTTCCATCAGCAAGAAATTGGAAAAGAAAAAAAATTAAGAGTTGAACACAAAGCACTGGGCTTTTTATCTCTCTGGTCAACTATTCAGTAGGTGGCTGAAAATGTGGGTTCTAATGAAGGTTGGTGTCAAATTTTGCCAGGCTTCTCCAGCCCCTGTAACAGGGTGACCAGGACTTAACCACTTGCATCACATGCAAGTTTGCCTAGTCTTGCAACAGGGAGTCCAGCACATTGGAAAGCCATTGGAGGTGTGTTGTGATGATCCAATGAGCAGCAGGACTCCACAGGAAACAGGATGGGTTTAGAAGCCAGAAACCCCATGGTCCAAAGGGGATTCCTAGCAAAGACAACAACACACTTCCAGCTACGGCCTAGCCCTGCTCTGCCGGCTTTCAATACCATGGGCCCCGCAGATTCTGGACCAGGGCACTCAGTGTTTCAACCGGGACAGTGCCAATAGAAAAAGCATGCCCCAGCTGCTTGCCTAAAGGTATGTACAGAAATTGACGGGAAGCATTGAGAAACTGCTATGGAAATGTGTCCAAGTAATTATATGTCTGTTGAATCTAATACAAAGTCTGGGTTTGTATTTTGTAAGGAGTTTTAAATTTTCACTTTTCCACTAACAATGTATTTGACTAAAATATTGGTCTGCGATGGCCTGGAAATTAAAACACAAACACACAGACAGAAGCAGGAAGGTTGGTTTTGAGACCAATTGTTGCATGAGAAGCACTAAATTAGATCACCATACCCTCTATAAGTTACTTAAAATCACTGTCCTGGCCTCTCTGTGACCACAAGGTTATTGACATCCCCTACAAATGACCAATTTTATGGAAGAGGTTGAAAGCTACAGAGTCAAACGATAGCCAGTAATTGGAGCCATGCTCCTTTTGGTTTGCTTTGGTTCAAAGACCAGAGATGGTAAGGACAAAGCTTTTCTTCACCAAATCTCATGGCAAAATTGACCTGCCCTGGAGGGTGCTAAGGACAGATCAGTCCCAGCCACCACCACTGTGCTGTCCACCTGGGAAAACTGAAGCTATGCTACTCAGCACTTGTGCTGCGAGACAGATCTGCCACTGCTTATGTAAAAATGTGGGTGGACAAAGCCAGACCATGACCTGAAGCTAACTTGGTGAATCTTACCTTTCAACTTATAAAATTTCTGATTGCCCTGTGCCTGCAATCAGAACATCTGTAATGAAGGTGCTTACAACGGAATCCACCAGGCACCCAAGAAGCATGGACTACTACCACTTCTAAGTATAACATCATTGGGACACGTGTTTCCATCCCCGTCACCTACTGCTCCTCTCTAGGCCAGACACACACCTACCTGTGAAGTACCTACTGTACTCCTGTTCAATCTTCTGAGCCGTCTCAAACTGCTCTTTGGAATGCCTCTGAGTCACCTTGTCCTTCAGGTAGATGGGGTCTCTCTGCTCTCTGTTGAAATATCCAAGGAATCAGGCTGAGCTTCTCGCCTCCCCTCTTTCCTTCCTTTGTCCAGACTAACAGGGACCTCCATTGCCAAAGGAGCCCGATATGTTCCCCTCATAAAGCACAGCAATAGCTGGCAGTCCCCACAGGGAGCTCTGGGCAGAGGGGGCAGGGTGGGTGCCACAGAGCATGCACTAGAGAGCAGATACCTCAGCAGCTCCCAAGTGCAAGTACCAGAAGCTTGGAAGCACAGAAAGGCAAAATGGAGAGGGACCTTAACGAGCTGTTAGCCCAACCATGACAGAAACACGCTCAGTGAAGGCAAAGGCTCATCCAAGTCACAAGCCTACTCCTGGCAGAGCTGGACCTGGCCCCGACCGCCTAGTTCCTATGTCCTTGTGAGCATCAAACTGAGAAGCTGAACAAAGGGAGGAAGGGAGGAAGGGAGGAAGGAAGAAAGGAAGGAAAGAAGGAAAGAAGAAGTGGCAGGGAGGGGGGGGGGATAATAAAAAACAAAATGGAATAACAGGGAAAGAGAGGATGGGGGGAATGGGAGGAGAGCTCTGCAGACAAAGCTGAACCCAGGCAAAAGGAAGGGGAGGTGGAGTGGGAGGGGCTGTGCTGGGTTAACCCTGTCTGACTCTGAACATGAGAGAGGGGTTTGAAGCGGAAGTGTCATTCCTATACATGTTGTTTCCAGATTGGTCTCACTCTTCTGCCACACCCCCGCCACCTTGGCTGTTTGAGCCAGCAGCCACAGCAAGGCCCCCCGCTGAGCCCCGAGGAGCCGATCACCTACTTGATGTGTTTAGCGCTCTTGTAGTGGATGAAGATGACGATAGGGTAGACGTGCATATGGTGCAGCCGCTCGATGGCGTGGGGAGCGATGTCCAGGAGACAGTGCCGATTCTGAGGGGGGATGAAGAATGAGTGCCAGGGGCGGGCGTGGGGGTCTGGCCCTTCTGGGACACCTCCCACCCTTCTCTGTCACCGACGGGTCCCACCGTCACCTTACACTACTCTTATCTTCCTCTATAAACAAACACATAAAGCTCTACCCATGAACGAGAAAGCAAGACCATCTTTCATGAAGATCACACGTGATAAATTGTGGGGAATTCTTACCCTGGAAATCTCTCCCCACAGGATGTCAGCTCTGATGCGGTCAAGGCTGGGAGCCAGGGCCGAGTGGGTTCTGGCTGGCCAACTACAAACATCCTTTCCTCCCCTGGCCCAGATATGGGGAACTTCTTAAAGCACTACCCCAGCCTGCCCTCAGAAACCTTACTTCTGTCAGACTGAGCAAATGAAAACTCGAGACTTAGTGAGGTGAGGGAGGGGAGTGTGTCTGTCATTGTGTAGCTGTGACTGAAATGTGTACCAGGGTCCCCTGAGCTTTCAGGCAGAGTGTGAGACAAAGAAAGGCCATGGGCACTGTGCCTATGGCTCTCCCCGATTGCCAAAAGCTCTGGTGAGCTCTGGGCCCAATCCCTGGCAGGCTTTCTAACCTCCTGGGGCACCCCTGACTGAAGCCCGTTCACTTCAACTCGGCCATCTACATATGACAGCTGTGAGAAGCCAACTCCTCATTTAACAGGAGGAAACCAAAGCCCAAAGAGGTGACCTGAGTCAGCCCGAGGACGGAGCCCAAGGAACGCCTACACCCTCGAGGGCTGTCTTTCCAACAGACCTTGCAGATGTCCTCACTTTCCCTCATATCACCTGGCGAATGGACACCAGCATGTTCAAGAGCCTAAGTTGCAGAGCAATGGCTCTTAGCCCTCTTAGGGGCAGGGCCCTGATGGAAGCTGTGCACCTGTCCCCAGAACAAGGCACACATAAAGCTCTGCACACAAGTTCAGCTTTTTTTGGGATCCTGTTGTAGAATTCCCTGTGAGAGGCCCTTCCTAGAGTTTAAAGCTCTCGTCAGATGCCCTCACAGGGGGAGGGGTGACCCACATGCGAGGTGATTCCTACACATCTGCCTGGGACTAGTTTCTTCTTTATAAAGTGGAAGCACACAGAAGCAACGGGGGCAAGCCTGTGAGACGTGCAGAGCAGAGGCCCAAAGGCACAGAGACTCCAAGGCCAAGGCTCAAACAGGCACCTAACTCCCCTTCTAAAGCAACAGTTACCTTTTCTGTGATCTCCTTTATAGAAGCCACTGTGGTCACATCAAAATGGCCACTCCTCCGCTTATAGTCGACAAACAGGCAGTCTTTGACACCTCGCTCGATGGCCTGCTGGGAAGCCTTCATCACCTCTGCAAAGCACAGACCCAGGAATTAGGACACTCTGGCATTGTGAGCCATCACGACACGTTCTGGGGAAGAACACTGTTCAGGAAGGCTGTTAGGAACCCAGTCCAGCTGCCCTCTCTTCTGGAGAAAAAACTGGAAGCCAGATGCTGATCTGACACAAGTTAGGAGGGCTCTGAAACACCACGGGATCCAGCTTCGGGAGACAGAGGACATGGACACAGACAGGGACAAGCATGGAAAAGACTCCTTACCAAGGGGGCACCTGCAGAACTTGCCAGGTGCCTCGTTCACCAGCATTTCCTTCACCACATCCAGTAAAGGCCCCAGAATCAGGACAGGCCTCAGGGAGGTGCAGTCTACTTTCTGGACCCGCTGATAGGCAAGGCTCACCGAATCTGAGGGGTAGAGATAGGCAGTGTCACAGGAAGCAGAGTGGAGGGAGGGAGAGTGGCTGGGGACACACTGTTCTCCAGGCAGGCCCATCCTCTTCACTCCACAAATCCAGAGCCTAGCAGAGTAACCAGCTCATCCCAGTCTGCTTGGGACTTGCCCAGTTCTAGAGAGTTCCAGGTCTTGGGCACACCAAGGCATGGTCACTCTTGGAGTCCAACACAAGTGTCCCCCACTCCGTGAACACCCAAGTCATTTCAGCACTTCCTTTTGCTCAAATTCTTTTTATGTGTCTTATGCCCACTGCCCCCACCTCCAATCCATTTTCTGCTGTCTAGAGAGGAGACCTCTGAGGTTTGGCAGATAGGTGGTCATGCAACCCAGACCTGCCCAGTATAGTGAGCACGGATGAAGCTCTCACTTTCTCGCCTGCCTTCCCATGGGCTAAAATGGACAGGACCAGGTGCTGTGAGCCAGTTCCGCTCTTGCAGATAAGGACAACCCTCAGGAAATGGCAGAGCACAAGACAGAAAGGAACCGGGTCCCTGAATAACCCCCAGAACAGAGCTGCCTCCCTGGGACCACCCACCAGCTCAGACTTGTACATGGCAGAGAAATAAACTTCCCATCATGATTTAACCGTTGTCATTTGGTCTCAGTTACAGCAGTCAAACCAATACCGTAGTTGATACATGTAGTAAATCTGCCCTTTGACCAAAATAATAATAAAGTCCTTGCAGGAAGAGACGGCCTAAACGCCAGTACAAATATCTTCTTGGCACCTCCCTTGTATCAGTCACTGTACTGGCATCTCGGAAACGCTTAAAGAAGAGTATAAAACACAGCTCTTGCCGTTACAAAGCTCACACTCTAATCTGTCACAAGATAGGACCACATGATAAGCAAGACAAGCATACATACAAGAGCTACCTGACAACTCCAGGCAACAGAACAAGCCATCCCAAGGGAGGGCAAGGGTTAAATAAACACTACATGGGATCAGAGGAAGAAGAGACCACCAAAAAGGCCCAGGAAGGAGGCGAGATGGGAGATGTGTCCCAGGCAGAAAGCATGCAGGACAGTGGGTGATGGTGATGGACAGGGGCAGGGCTGAGGTGAGGGGAAGACTAAGGCGGGCTTGTGAAGAAGGATCAATGAGAGGCTTGGCCTGGTAGACCTGGACACAGCAGTACAGCAAGGTATAATTAGAAGATGAGGAAAGTGGAGCCAGAAAGTGAGACTTTAGGTAAACATGGCACAGAGCTGGATGCAGTCTCAGCTCCGTAAAGACCGAGCTCGTGTGCAGAATTGAGGGGAAAGTGAGCACAGTCTCTCTCCTTCCTCACTACACCTGTGCATGTATTTTTTAGGACCAATGACTCAGCATATACATCTAGATGGTTTTCTCTACAATATTTCTCAACCTGGTGACCTGATCTGTTGCTAACAAAGAGGCAGAGGGCCTTGTAGCCACACTCCCTATCCAGGAACAACCGTGCATTTCTGACCAAAGGCTCTGAGAAGGCCCGAGGCAAAGAACTTCCTCCAAGGGGTATGAACACATGCCACTTTTAAAAATCAGAATGCTACACATAAAATCAAACATCTTCTCTGATACCTCTTCTCCAGTCCTGGTCCCTACCACTTCCTCAGAAATAACCACTATTATGAGCTGGAATTATATTCTTTCAACGTTCGTTTTTCTTACATGTTGATATTTATATGCTCAAAAAGACTAGAAAATATGTTGTGTATTTGTGTGTATGTTCGAGAAAAAAATGACACAATACTGTAAATATTCCACAACTCCCTTTTCCACTAAGTGCTATTTCTGGAATGCATCCATGTTGATTCAGATTGATCTCTTTTATTCCTTTTGAACATCCCACACACGGATACACTGCATCTATTTATGCATTTCCCTTTTTATGAACATTAAGTCACTATTCACTCAATTTATTTGAACTAGGATCAGGTAACAACTGTCAGCATTCTATAATGCACTGCACACAAATTATTTCTCCTCGAATAATCTGCTTCATCAGAAGTCCTCATAATTACAGAATCATGGAGCTAGAGAGCATCTTACCAATCACTGAATCCAACCAGAATCAGAAGATATAAAACTCCCTGGTAATGATAAATATACAGATAAATAGAGAATCTGGAAGTAATGTGATGTAGATGCATAAATCACTTTTAAATCTGGTATAGATATTAAAAACCAAAAGCATAAAAGTAAAGATAAATCTGCTAATGAATACACAATATAAAAAGAGGTAATTGGTGTCATCAATAACAAAGTGTCAGGGGGGCGGAGATGTCAAGCAGAGTTTTTATGATTGAAATTATCAGTTTAAAATGAATTGTAACTTTAGGATGTTTTATGTAATAATCACAAAGAAAATAGTTATAAAATGTACATAAAGGGAAATGAGAAAGAAACTAAAATATATCACTACGAAAAATTAATGAAACAAAAGAAAGCAGCAAAAGATGGAAAGATGGATAAAAAAAAGCTACTTCCAGAAAACAAAATGGCAATAGTAAGTCCTTCCATATCAGCAATTAGTTTAAATGTAAATGGATTAAATGCCCCAATTAAAAGACACAAATTGGCTAAACAGATTTAAAAAAACAAGACCCAACTATATGCTGTCTACAAAAGATTCACTATAGATCTAAGAACACACGTAGACTAACTCTCAGTTATGACTAGAACCAGACAGATAATTAAGGAAACAGAGCTCTTGAACAACATTGTAGACCAAATGGACCTAACAGACATATACAGAACACCCACAAACAGAATAAACATTCTTCTCAAGTGCACATAAAACATTCTCCAAGATACACCACATTTTAGACCACAAAACAAGTCTTAACAATTTTAAGAAGACTGAAATCATACAAAGTATCTTCTCTGACAACCATGGAATGAAACAAAATCAATAGCAGAAGGAAAACAGGGAAATTCACAAATATGTGCAATTAAACAACTCTTTAGCAAACAATGGGTAAAAGAAAAAATCACAAGGGAATTTAGAAAATATCTGCAGACAACAAAAATGAAAACACAACACACCAAAACTTATGCGATACAGCAAAAGCAGTACTAAGAGGGAAGTTTATAGTGGTAAATGCAGACATTGAAAAAGAAGAAAGATCTCAAATCAGTGACCTAACTTTACATAATTTAAGGAACCAGGAAAAGAATACATTAACCCAAAATTAGCAGGAGGAAGGAAATAAACAGCAGAGATAAATGAAACAGAGAATAGTAAAACAATTAGAAAAAAAAATCAATGAAAGCAAGAGTTAACTTTTTGAACAGACAAATGAAATTTGACAAACTCTTAGGTAGACTAATAAAAGAAAAAGGAGAGAAGACTTAAATAATTAAAATTAGAAATGAAAGAGGAGACATTACAGCAGACTTCACAGAATAAAAAGGATTTTAAGAAACTACTATGAGCAATTATATGTCAGCAATTTGGATAACCTAGAAGAAATGATAAATTCCTAGAAATGTACAACATATTGAGACTGAATCATGAAGAAATACAAACTCTAAACAAATCTGTAACAAGGAGATTCGAATAGTAATTAAAAAACTTCCCAATGTAGAAAAGCCCAGGACCAGATAGCTTCTCCAGAGAATTCTAACAAACATTTAAAGAATTAACACCATTCCACCTCAAACTTTTCCAAAGAATGAAAAGGAGAGAAAACTTTCAAATTCATTCTTTGAGTTTACTCTGATTACTCTCATATCAAAACCAGGCAAAAACACAAGAAAACTACTGACCAATATCCCAGATTAATATTGATGCAAAAATCCTCAACAAGATGCTAGCAAACGGAATTCAACAGTATATTAAAAAAGTTATAGGAGGAAAAAAAAAAGGTACATGATAGAGGCTCTGTTCATCCCTCTGGCAAACAAATCAAAGTTGTGACAGAAACAAGGAGCAAGTAGCAAGAAAAAATCATCTGAGATCTAGTTGAACAAGCCATACAACTAGGAAGAAATCCAAGAAAGCACCCTGCAGTGGCAGAAGGTAGGAGGGGGTGAAGATGGGGGGCTGCCCGGTTTCCAGCGGCTGAGTGAGATGGAGGCTGCGGCAGCAGCAGAAGCCTCTTAAAGGGGCCGTGTCTGTGAGCAGATTTTCACAGTGACGGACCTGCTCGCTCTGAGCACCAATACCAATTCGGCTGCACACAGAGGGTACTAGGGACTCACAGGAAGACACTGTCATAGTGAGGGCGAGGCAAGACTAGCTCTGTACAGAAGTGCTAGCAGTATCCATTGTTCCCTGTTGTGCCCTGTTGCGCAAGACACAGCACTGTCATAGCCCTGACATCATCAAACTGGATAACAAAGGTCGCTCTGCCCAGAGGATCTCCTGAAACTTCGCCTACTCCAACTCGCAGCCCCACCCAAGCCACATCCAGGTATATCCTCAGCATGTCAGGTGCTCCTTGCTGAGCAGCACCTAGACTCACACTGGTGGCAGCTGGCCTCAGTTTCTAGTGTGGCCTTTTCAGGCAACTATAAGCACAGCATCTGTGGATTGCTTGCTGAAACTTAATAGGTGGCCAGAGGCTTGGGCTAAATTTGGCCTGCAGCTGAACCCTTCTCAGGACTGTGCCACTGGTCACCTACTTCACAAATCCACACTAATAAGACTGAGAGACTTAGGAGCTTTGCTTAGTACATAGAAACACGTGGAAAGGCAGCCAAAAATGGGAAGACAAAGAAGTAGAAACCAAATGAACAGAACAGAGATCCAGATATAATGGAGTCAAGTAATCTAACAGATACAGAGTTCAAAACACTGGTTATACCGCGTCTACCTCCCCCTCTTCCCTGCAGTAAAGGGGGTCAAATATAAGGGGACGGGGGCGGGTAAAGG